TAAAAAACTGTACAAGAAGAAAGACTACCACAAAAGAATGAGAAAGGACTCTATAATGGTCCCTTTATATTGTCTCAAGAGCTGGATACATGTAGTTGGCAGCATAACAGAGTGAGCTGAAGTCATATCATGCAGGGAAGCTCTGTCCTCACACTGCACCCTTACCTGGAGGCTCTGCCCATGCAGTTTCCACTGGCTGGGAATTGACAGGTCACGTGGAGCCACATGTTCCCCTTCCCACCAAATGAGAGCTGCCCCAGATAAGTGCCTTGCACCCCGACCCGGCACTTCCGCCCTGAGCCCACTCCACTACCCTAGCTCCCTCCCAGACCCTACACACCAACCCTGAGCCGCCTCCTGCAACCTAACTCCCACCCAATACCCCACATCCCCAACCCAACCTCCTGTCCTAAGCCCCAAATGCCTCATGCCCACACTGCCACCCAGAGCCCCCTCCCACACTCTGAACCCCATCTCTGCCACACATCCTGTGCAAAATTAATTTTATGTGCTCCAGTATAGAGGTGATCATTTCCCTAGCAGTGCACATAAAATTCACGCTGCACACGGACATACAAATTATAGGGAAGACTCCCCCAATTCCTTATTTTTGTTATAGCTTCCGTATTGGCAGTGGCAACTCAGTTTATGCATTGGAGAAATAGGAAAAGTGTAAACCTACAACTTTTTCAGGGACTTAATATAATGGAGATTGCCTATCTCCTAGAACTGGAAGGGACCTTGAAGATCATCAAGTCCAGTCCCCTGCCTTCACAGCAGGACCAAGTACCATCCCTGACAATTTTTTGCCCCAACTCCTTAAATGGCCTCTGGAAGGATTGAACTCACAACCCTGGGCTTAGCAGGCCAATGCTCAAACCACTGAGCTAGCCCTCCCTCAGCTCTGTTCAGGACTTGCAACTCCTATTCCCACCTTCAAGCCTGGGGCTCTTTCCACAGTTACCTCCCCTTTGCCAAGTCTCCCAAGCCAGAACTGTGAGAGCCCCACTCCCTACTTTCTTCCATCTGCCCTTCTACCAAGCGTTCTTCCTTCTGCCCTTGTCGCATGCACTGTATGACCCTCCTTTCCCATATCTTTCACCCTTATTGCCCCCTGGGGCTGCACACGTACACATCCCACTTCTCTCCCCTTATTTTCCATTCTTTCTTTCTACTTCAGGATGCTAACACTTTAAACTGTAATGGCAGGACAGACAGTATTGGGGGTGCTACAATGGGGAAATGTCTTAATGGTTTTCTTCACTGGGTCTGTGATGTATAGCCAATTACAGAGAATTTTCTGGTTAAATTGATAGCTCTGCTAATCAGATGCCACAGAGCTGTCTGCCCCCAACCCACCCTGGTCCGTTCCACCTCATCAAAATCAGTGGAGAATCCAGCCCCCAGCATTGGCGATTCCCTGAAATTCTGGAATTGATTGGCTGTGCCATTGAGGCTTTTTTTCCCCCTCATCAAAGAAAGAAATGCCATTGAGTGACAAGGGATATGAGGTTACCTTTTATTGAACCAACTTCTGTTAATGAAGGAGATGAGCTTCCCGAGTTCATCTCTTTCACCAACTGAAGTCAGTCCAATTCCTTCATTCCCCTCGTCTCTCAAATATCCTGGGACCAACATGCCTGCAATAACCCTGCGAACATTTAGTGTAAGGCCTCACAAGCTCAGCCAAGGAGGCTTTCCAGTGCTTTGTTGTTTTAGCTCTTGCTCTCCTGTATGGGTACACTAACAACTCATTGCAGCAAGGGAGGCTTAGGCTGGACATGAAGAAAAACTTCCTTTCAGGGTGGTGAAACACTGGAATAAATTGCCTAGGGGGGTTGTGGAATCTCCATCATTGGAGATATTTAAGAGCAGATTAGACAAACACCTGTCAGGGATGGTCTAGATCAGGGTGAGGAACTTCATACCTGGGGGCCAAATCAGGCCCCCATGGCTCAGCATTGGGGAGCCCATGCTGGCACTCCAGCCCCCCACCTAGGAGGTGGAGTACACAAAATCTACAAGCCTAGGCCCCATTAGGCTCTGATGTGCAAGGGAAACATGGGGAGTATCTTTCTCTTCTGCAGTCAGGGGCATCTCACCTGTGTGTGGCCCCCAAATGATTTTTTTCTGAGGGTCAGTGCCCCCTCCCACCCAAAAAAGATTCCCCACCCCTGGTCTAGATGGTGGCTAGACTTGACCTCTTTTGAGGTTCCTTCCTGTTCTATAATGATATGATCCATCCAAAGCTATAGCATTCAGACTCTCTCATTGTCCCCATGTACTGGTCTCCACCTGGAGGGAGGCCAAGCTGCCTCACAACACGGCGTTTAGACCAGTTCGTAGCCCTGTGGAACCCTGCTTCAAGGCTGTCCCACCACCATCTGAGGGCTCTGGTATAGCCCAGCTAAGTAGTAGTCATGGTGTCCAGGCCCTAGCTCATGGTAAGGCTAGCAAAAGTCCTGGGGCTCAGGCCAATGCTCTGGCCAAGCAGCTGTTCTCAGGGCAGGGCAAGCAGCAAAGTAAAGATTCAGGCCTTCAGGCAGAGCAGTTGTTCAAAGGCCCAACTCTTGCTCAGGATGGGGCCACAAAGTTTACGGGCTCGGGCCTGGCTGCAGGTTGAGCAGCAGTTCATAAGCCCAGGCCTTGGTCAGGGCGGGCCAACAAACAAACAGTACCAACAGTTTGAGGCTCAGGCCTGTCTGCAGGCTGAGTGGGGGTTGGGTCTCCTTGCTTTGGCAGAGAGCCAACAAACGCAGGGGGTTTTACCCCAATGGGCAAACCTGCCACCCAAGGTAAAGGGTGACAAGGTAGAGACACAGGCCTGCCCACTCCACTGCGTCCCAGACGAGGGCCATAACAATGGCAGCATGGATCCTGGCTGCAACACGCATTCCAGCTGACCTCCATTTCTTCAGCCGGCACTAGGTTGGCTACCCTGGTTGCTTCCCAGTTCCCCCTGCAGGCCTACCTGCCGCAGCCTCTGCTCCTCTGGGTCCACTGGGGATGAGAGTGCTGGCAGAGTGTCCATTGACTCCAGGTCAGGGTCAACAGTGGTCCAGCCCAGTCTTCTGGGCCCAGCAGCGTCCCTCGTGGCCCAGGCCAGTTCTCCTTCCTAGGGCAGTGCGGTTGGGCCTCCCTCCTCAGAAGCTTGGGCTGACCATGTAGCTTGCTCTGTGGCTGTGCCCCAACTGAGCTCTTGCTTCCTGCTTTTTAACTTCCAGTCCCGTCTTTCTGCTTCCTGTGGATGGGGCAGGGTTGCTCTGGTCCCACCCAAAAGGGGGTCTTAAGGAGTCCTTCCCCCTTCTGGGTCAGAAGGAGCACAAGTTGCCTCACTATACCATCCCAAAAGTGAGGTTAATGACATTGGGCAGAAACCCCAAAGCTGCTGGCTCCTCCAACACATTTTAATAGAAACAGGCACACTAGTTCACTGTCCAAAAGCACAGGGAAACATTCCAGAGCCAACCACCCCTTGAATAGCCAGATTAAAAGCTGGGAAAAGAGTTAAAAACCCTACATCTCCCAACTACTGACCTGTAAGTTAGCCTGAGACGGGCTGTGATAGCTAGCCTTACACAACTTGTTCTAACATAACAGCTGGAGAGGAAATGGAAACATTCCAATCCGGTTTGCAGGCTCATTCGAGACCTTGTTTATGAATAACAGTGGGGGAAACAAGCATGTTCAGAAAATCTGGGTCTCTCACAGGACTTTAGGAAAGGGAGAAGGTAATGATTTTGGAAATGTACTGCTTAGATATCAGCTCCTCTATTCTTATGGCTCTGTTCTTTCAAGATAGAATGTTGATCCTGGCTACAAAAAGTATTGAAGTAGATGACAAATTCTCATTCCTCTCAGAGATCCCACTCAGTTTTAGGAATGTAATAGTGTAGTAGATTGACCAATAAAGCAAGAGTTTATAGGTTAATGCTATAGACCACATTAGGGATGGGCAATAATTTTTTGCCAGGAACCACTTAACATTTTTTTTGAACTGGCCCAGGCTGGGACCAGGGTGCTTCCGAGTTCCCCACCCACAGACCATGATTGCTCTGGGGGTGGGGGAGCCCCTTTGCCCCCCTCCCCCGCCCTTCCCACTAAGCACCCATGCCCCTGGTGGTGGGAGGAGACATCCTGGTGACTTACCCTGCCACAGCCCTGCATTTAAAGCGTATGAGGAGCCAGGCTGGCAGGCAGCCTAGCTCAGTTCCAGCTCACGCCGGGTCCGGGAGCTCAGACCCCCCTCCCCCAACAGGGGCTGCTGCTACTAGGGATGTTAAATTTAGATTAACTAATCAAATTAATTCTATAAGGGATAATTAGTCTATAGGGGCACCTCCACCTCTGAACTGTAGCAAGAGCCCTGCCGGGGCCTCTGGGGCTCTTGTACATTTCAAAAGCAGAATCGCGCCATTTCTGCTGCGAGTGAAGACTGCTTCAGTTCCCGCTTGTGCTGTTTCCCCGCTGTGTCTCTACCTTCACTGCCCCCCACAGAGATGGTGCTGGGGGGAACCAGCTTTTAAAATGGCTCTCCCCAGCACTGTTGCTGCTTCTCTCTGATAGAGGCAGCAAAGGGGGGGAAGCGACTAGTTACTTACATCCCTAGCTGCTACCCTGTGCTACTGCCTCTGTATCAGCGGCAGCAGCACAGGCAGCTGGTCCACGAGGGGAGCTGGCTTTTAAACTGGCTCCCCTTGTGGACCAGCTCCCGCCTGGCCCCCTGCGCTGCCGCTTCTGATACAGTGGCTGCCGGCCCTGCCCCTGGGGACTATAGAATCGTCGACTAACCAATAAAAATTCATGAGCTTACTCGACTATTCAGTTAATCGATATTTAACATCCCTAATGTAGACCAGGTCTCAGATGTCTCCTGTTCTAAAGAGTGCCATGCATATCCATGCTATTGTATTAGAGGACAGATTTAACACAAGTCACCTGACAACAGTCCCCAAATTAACCATTAAAGCAGGATACTGCTACCATCACTGCGCTCAATCTTTTTGCAAAACTTCGGCTACAGCAGCCAGATAGTCTGAGGGATCAATGGTTCTTGTGTGATTATATAATCCCAGCCTCAGGTTAAAGAAAAAAAAAAACACTTCCACATGAACTGTCACTAACCTCCCAGAGGGAAGAGTCTGCGTGCACCACATAACACTCCCCCTAATTTGACTAGGGCATTTTACACCAGACAGACTGCTCTGCCATGCTCATGTCCAGGGCTCGCCAAGCGGCAGCGAGCCCTGCTCCCCAGCTGCGCGGTTCGGCGCGCTGCGCATGCGCTGACTGCGCTGCGGCATCTTGTAATCTACTCGCCACGGGCGAGTAGATTACACTAATTGTTGAGCCCTGCTCATGTCAACTAAAAATATTTTGCTTAGACACATATGTAGGAAGAAAAGAGCCTGAGACATAAGCCCTTGTATCAGAACCTGTGTGATGGGAGACAGCCTGTGAAGCCAGTTGTAGACCCCTAATCAATGCCATACCTGGAAGAGACCAGAGTTTCTGGCCCAGTAAAACAGGGTGAGTGGCTTTAGTGGTAATTTCAGCACATGAGGTGACAGTTTCAAGGGAATGTTTGAGATCGCGTCTGTGTCAGCCTGGTACGAGGCAGAAGTTGTTCATAGAATCTTGACTAAGATGTGCTTGTCACAGAACATTCATGCAAACACATCCCAGTATCAAGTAATGCCAAAACATTTGGATATCAAGGATGGTACAAAAACATCCCCCAAAGATAATGGGAACACACTGAGCTCTCCTAAAAGATATGGTCAGGAAAACATTATTGCGACACAGATCTTTTGAACGAACCAACATGTACAAGGTGACATCAGGGGGCATATTAATTTGTTTGTATCCAGGTATAATGTGTCTCATTAGGGAGTATCTCTGGACAGTATAGGGGGCAGTGGAAAATTCTGCCACTGACTGAGCCACACTCATTGTCACGGGCATGGATGCCTTAGTGTCCTCAGAGTTTACCAGGTTGTACCTTTGTCCTTTAATGTGGACATTGAGCAGGTTGCTTGAGGTCTGTTATGCAAGCTGTCTGCATAGGGCTGGGGTGCACATAGAAGGAACACACACAGCACCAAACATCTGTTAACATTTTACAACAAGTGCTTCAGGGACCCTATATTGCTACCAGAGCCTCTCCAGCTTTTACTAGGCATAGGTAACACTTGACACAAGCCAAATGGTAACTGTCACATGAGACCCCTAATGATACAACCAAGATCTGGTTTCCCAAGTATAAATGGTTAATAAAAGGCTTGGATGTTTCAGAGTTAGTATTTCTGTCATGAATTTGTCTTAAACGCTGTAGTTTCTTCTCTCACTGAACATTGTTTTTAACTGAAATGTGGCATCTTTTCTGCCCTGATTCAGATGTTAAAAAAACCCTTCCTCGGTGTAAAAGGTGTAGTCTTTTATGGAATGATCTGGATATAAAAATTAAAATGACTGATTAAAAGTCCCATTTTTACCCAACTCGTCTCATTCTCTCTCTCATCAGTAGGTGACCAGACACCTTAGTCCTCTGGGATGGATCTTGGCTTGAAGGTACAGTCCCTCTGTTCCAGGGAATCTAGCTGAAAGTAGAGTTTTGTCCTAGTTTCACTAGAGTGCTGAACCCACTGAAAGAGAGTTAGTGCCAAACCAACAAATTTGGATTCTGTATCCCCTGCAGCAGATGGAAACACTGGCATGTCACCCTCTTCCTATTTTCCTCCCCTTTGTCAGACTATAGTAGATGGATCAGAAGTTCCCCATCTCATACTATGGTACATGCAGCTCTGAAGTAACCAAACCCCCTTGGATCTAATCTATATTTAGAAAGAATGACATACAGAAGCAGCCAAAACAAATTACCTTTTCTGTCTCCCTCACTCAGAACTGAGGCCCAGAGGTTTTGGGCCTTAGCGACAAGGCACTGCCTCCAACTGACAGCCAGAATTTGGCTCACATTCTAAAGCATCTCCTCCCAGTCTGTCTCTGAAGGCTCCATCAATGCTGGGCTCTCTCAGCTGCCATTTTATGTAAACTGCAGGTAATCCTTGGTATTCTTGACCCAGGCTTTTAGGGCCTGGCTACGTAGCATGTTCCAAGCTTCTTGATAGTTTGCTGAGGCTTCCTTGTACTCCCAATAGGTCTCCAACTTCTTCTCCCTGATAGGAAATGCACCACAACAGACAGGTTTCAGTTTTCTCATTAATAGGATGTTGCCTTTCCTTTTTGGACAAATATTCAAGCTGGAGAGAGGCCTGTCTGCACTGACTGCTTTTCCTGACATTCTTGGCAAACAGGCAGGCATACAAATAAGAGGTGAAAAAGCCTACAACCATCTTACCTCAGATCCATGGACCTAGCAGACACAGCACCTGGCCTACCAGACCTCTTATAAACTAGATAAGCCTAAGAGAGAAGTCACCTGGCAGCTGAAGCTTCCTAGGTTTCAGAGAAGATGGTTAAGGAGCTCTGCTGTGAAGGAGTCAGGGTCTCTAGACACTTCCAGATTTCTAGAAGGTCCCTGGCTTCTGGACAGTAGCTCTGTTCAGTTTTCTCCAGGGTGGATGTGTAAATTCGCTCCAAGTATGGCCTCTTCCTGTCTCTCTTGGGCCTTGGGACCAGCAACAGGATGAGGTCTTTATGTGCAAGCAGAATGCAGCAGAGCAATAGCAGCCATGAGGAAAAACAACAGGGTAGTGTCAGCCGAGTGCATTATGTGCAGACCCACATTCCAGAGAGGCGGGATTGGCCTCGTTCTGCTGAAGGACACAGGGCAAGCGTTCGCCAGAACAGCTCAAGTTCAGATGAACTTTGCCTCAAGTTCAAGGCAAAGACAGGGTGATGGAACAACGGAGTCAGTCTCTACACCTCTGCCTTGTAGGCACGACAATGGTCCAGCAGGGCATTGTGACTTTGCTCAGCATGTAACTGAGATTTAGGGATATAAACATGCAGTTAAAAATGTAACTGTACCAGCTAAAAATGATAGTGGTTACGCGGTTACAGGCTCTGCAGTATCAGGTTTAAATAAGCCCTGGCTGGGATGATCTAGTTGGGACTGGTCCTGCTTTGGGCAGGGGGCTGGACTCAATGCCTCCTGAGGTTTCTAGGATACTGCAGAGCCCAAAGTGAAGCCTCCTCTGTGTGCAACCTGCGGCTGGCAGGGGGCAGGGTAGCCAGGCCCTCCTTTAGCACACCCCGGAGGTCTGGAGCAGCCTCCTGACCGGGGTAGGTGGGGAGCTGCTCCAGTTAGTTAACTGGAACCAGTAAATCTCATCCATTAACGGTGAGGCTCACTGGTTAACCTTTTACTTCCCTACTGAGATGATCCCTTCCATGGGCACTAGCCATGGCCAACGCATTAGAAAAGGAGCGGACTAGGCCACCACATGCACATGCAGGATGGCGTTCAGGCACTTTCAACGTAGCTTTCACAACTTCACTGCTATCCACTTCAGGTTACATCACATAAACCTCAAGTCATTGCAGAGTGTGTCTTATGACGGGCAGTGCCGATAAGAGACACTGCAGCTCTGCCCTTCAGAACACGTTGCCAACCTTCAGCACTGATACAGGGGCTTGGAAGAGCCTCGAGAGTGGTCAACTAGGCCAGTGTTTCTCAACCTTTTTTTATAAAGGACCCTTTAAAAAATTATAAGTATTCCCCCCTCCTTTTTTTTTAATTTTAAATACCCCCAGTACCTACAGTTTTCAGACACACAATTTTTTTTTCTACCTGCAACACATGAAGTTTAAACAATTTAACTGTAGCGGAGCAAGGGATGAAATTTTTGGGTGTAAAGAAGTACAAAAATAATTAAGTGCTATAAAACTTAAAACAAAAGTTTAGTTTTCTCCAAATTTCACATGTTGACATACCCCCCAGACTTCTCGAGTACCCCTAAGGGTACTCGTACCGCTGGTTGAGAAACACTGAACTAGGCCATGGGGAAAGCAGACTTCAGGAGACTCCATCAGTCAAAGAAGGGCTGTGCCGCGCCGCCCACCCCACAAATCAGATTACAGTGCACGGAAGCCAAGGTACCACAAATGCTATTGTAGGAAACATCTGCACAGCACATTCCTTATGGCAGGGTGCAGAACACACACACTACACACCTCGCAGCCCAGGTTTATGTAGCAGTGTGAGGTTGAGGTCCTGCTTCAGCAAGTAAAGCGAGACATGAATCCCTAGTACATGTACCTTACATGGTTTGCTGCATGTTCAAGCAGCTCCACCCTATCTACACTGCTATTTTTAGCAGCATAGCATTTGCAACTTGCTAATCAGAGATCCTGTCCCACTCTGAGGCCCCATCCTGCTTACTTCCCCCTCCCCCTCACTCTCTCTCATTTTCCTCAGGCTGGGGCAGTGGGCTGTGGTGCAGGAGGGTGAGGGCTCCGGTCAGAGGTGCAGACTCTGGTTCAGGCTGCAGGAAGGGGCTCTGGAGGGGGCCGGGGATAACAGGCTCCAGGCTGGGGTGCTGGGTGTGGGCTCCAGGAGGGAGTTTGGGCACGAGAGGGGGCTCAGGGCTGGGGCCTAAGTGAGCGTGAGGACTCCAGGCAGCACTTACCTCGGTCTGGTCCTGCGAAGTGGCAACAGGTCCCTTCAGCTCCTAGGCAGAGGCACAGCCAGGCAGCTCTGCATGCTACCCCCTCACCAGCAGGCACTGCTCCCATTGGCTGGAACTGCAGGCAGGGGCAGTTTGCAGACCCACCTGGCCATGCCTCTGCCTAGGTGATACGAGGACATACCGCCACTTCCTGGGAGCCATGTGGAACCAGGGAGGGAGCCTGCCGGCATGGCTTCAACCAAGCTATAAAAAGGCCTGGTTGGCAGTGCAAACCAGAGCTGCCAGGGTCCCTTTATGATGGGGTGCTCTTGTCAAAAACCAGATGCCTGGCAACCTTCGTTCAGTGGCCTGTTGCCTCCCTGGTGCTGGAGCCTTTCCCCACCACCGGGAAAGGCTCTGGCAGGGGGCAGCAGCAAGGCTCCCCATTCAGCCATTGGGTACCCAACTGGCAAAAAAAAGGCAAGGTGAAGACCCCTTGAGGGATTCATCTCTGGCCAGACACTCCCTTGTATCTACATTTATCCTCCTGCATTTAAGGGACTGCTGGCAAATGTCCTTACCTCAGAGACCCTGGGGCCTCCCCCTCCTTTATCTTCATTAATTTGAATGTACTGTACAGAGCTTATTTGTGCTCTCTCAGAAAACATCCAATGTCAGAAGGGAGGTAGCAGCTCATCCTCATCAGGCTTAAGCCCAGGTCCTCAGTGCAGACAAACAGCATTAAAACCAGATTCTTGACCTAACACAATCCAGTTAAAGGGAAGCAACTCTCCTCTGGCTCAGTCTCTAGCAACTCTTAAAATCCCAAGTTCAAAGCCAGATGCCATGATACTTTTTGTGGCAAAAGCGCAGTTGGAATTTAGAAAGCTCTGTGTGTGCTGAATAATGTCTTCCCTTTTTCTTTCCAGTCCACCCCACTGTTCCTTCCTTTGCTGCCCCCATCCTTCCCTACATATTGTCTCTGTCTTTCAGACAATGTCTTCACTAACTCTTCTGCTGTGTTTGGCCAAGGTCCTACCACCACACAAGCACAGAACAAAAACAGTCCTACCCAACTGGTGTCTGTCTTTGCATGGGTTACTTTGTAGTCTGAGAAACTGAATTGAAAGCCCCGAACTTCAAGAAGCAAAATCTAGTAGGCTGGACAGACTGGAGCCATTAATTCATTTTTATAAGACTGTAAGTGTAGGTGTAGAATGTCTGTGATGAGATTAAACTAACTTTTTTAAATAAGAAATGTAATATTTTACTGGTGATTTACAAAAAATCATAAAAATCCGATTTAAAAAAAATTAGGTTTTTTTATTTTTTTAAATTATCAGTTTTTATCCACCCTGCAGGGAAGGTACTCTACAATAAATTCAAGCTGTAGTGTATCAGAAATGTCTCAAACTACAAACAAGACAGTCAATCATTTGGCCTGTATCCCCAGTTTCTGACTGAGATGTGATGGCCTTAAGCACCTGTGATGAAAATCCCTGGTCACTTTTTGCTAGTGGTGCTGCGCAAGCCCTCCTGACCTAGCCTAATTCAGCATGGTCACAATATTTGCTATCTGAATTTCCTTCATGCCCTTACCTACCAATTCTATTCTTATCCCCAAGATACTATGTAGTATTGGTGGTGTTACCATTGAATAGAATCTGTAATTTTGTAAGATACTTGGTCTAGAGAACATGACCTATGAAGCCAGGCTTCATGAACTGGGCTTGTTTAGTTTGGAAAAAAGAAGATTAAGGGGGGACATGATAGCGGTTTTCCAATATCTAAAAGGGTGTCACAAGGAGGAAGGAGAAAGTTTGTTCCTCTTGGTTTCTGAGGACAGGACAAGGAGTAATGGGCTTAAAGTGCAGCAAGGGAGGTTTAGATTGGACATTAGGAAAAAATTCCTAACTGTCAGGGTGGTCAAATATTGGAATAAATTGCCAAGGGAGGTGGTGGACTCTCCCTCTCTGGAGATATTTAAGAACAGGTTAGATAGACATCTGTCAGGGATGGTGTAGACGGAGCTTGGTCCTGCCTTGAGGGCGGGGGGCTGGACTCGATGACCTCTCGAGGTCCCTTCCAGTCCTATGATTCTATGAAAAGCACTGCACACTAGGCGTGCTCACATGATCAGCCAGTGCTAAGCAAGAGCAGAGATGATCTCTTCTTCTGCAGCCTCAGGCAAATCTCTGAAAAAATCTGAAGCCTACCTACTCTTATCCACAGCACAAAAGCCACACCCTTGATCCATTGTTCAGTTTCAACTTTGCTTTGAAGTGCTCATCCATACTTGCCATTACAAATCCGACAGTAAAGATAACTGTGCTAACATAGTGTACTAGAACATGGGCTGGCTGAGAGGAGAGCTGTACACACTAATCTTGCATAGCCTGTGTCAGAGACTCTCTTATCTGTGTGTCTGCTGAACTGTGCCACAAGGAGAAGTCCAGAGACAGAAAATGACAAAGGACAAAAATGCCACAGGAAATTACAAAACCACAAGAATCCTGAAAAGGCTTAAGGTGAAACTGTGTTATGCAGGCAGCACATGGCCAGCCTTCCAATCACGCATCCACATGCCACCAACGGGGGTAACAAACCCAGCATCTGCCAGCTCAGTTATGAGGAAGTCACGTTGAGCAAACAGTTGAAGTAAAGCTCTCCTTGCAATGCTGAGGCTAAGACGACAAATCTTACCTTCCTTAAAACGGGTAAATACCTGCAATGGGTGGAGAGGTTGTATTGCCTCTCTGTACCTGAATAACGTGTCCACTTTTCACGTCCACTCTTAAAAAAAAAAAATACACACACGCTGGAGAGGGCTCAAAAGAGCTACAAGACTAATCAAGGTTTAAAAAAGCTGCCTTGCACAGTAAAAGATGTAAAGAGTTCAATCTGTAGAGCTCATCAAATAGAGGTTGAGTGGCAACTTGATCGTGGTCTATTAAGTATTTACATGGGGAGTAGGGATGTAAAATCCCATTTACCCCTCTTCATCGCCTCCCTTTCTCTGCTCTTTATTTGTACTCAGGACCCCTTACTCCACTCATCTCAAGAAGTGGGCTGTGCCCACAAAAGCTCATGATGCCATCTACATGTTTTGTTAGTCTCTAAAGTGCTGCAGGACCATTTGCTGTTTAAGTTTTTTCATTTACAGACTAACATGGCCCTCTGAGACTAAGGATGTTAAGTATAGTGCAATTCACGAATCAAATAGTTGATAGGGCGGCACTGCCCCTTTGAAATGCCGCCGCAGCATTTCAAAGGAGCAGTGCCACACGAAGCCTCATGCAAGCACCGCACAACTGATCCCGGGCTCCCTGCAGCTCTGCCCCTTTGAAACGCTGCAGCGGCGTTTCAAAGAAGTAGCTCCGCAAAAAGTCCAGGATCAGCTGAGCGGCACTGCCCCTTTGAAATGCCACAGCGGCATTTCAAAGCGGCAGCACTGCATGGAGCTGTCACTTTGAAGTACCTTTCTCTTCCCTCCTCTTTGCTGCCTCTGCATTTGCTTATCGGATAGTCGACTAAACCTTAACATCCTTATCTGAGACTTTTACCCATTTAATCAGTTAACAGTTCTGTTTAACCAGTTAACTGCTTAAACTGGGGGAAGAGAGGGCATGCTTCAGCCTAGCCAAGTCCACCGCAGGATGGAGCGCTGTTTCAGCCGGGGCAGATGATTAACTATTACCGATTAACCAGTTACATCCCTAACGGGGAGAAGATATTTCAGGGATCTTTAAGCCTTCTGACAAAAGCATAAATAAGATCCAATGGGGGAAGCTAAAAAATCCTAATGGGAAATAAGACCCTTTTCCCAACAGTTGGGATATTTAATCTATGGAACAGGTTACCAATAGATGTGATAGATTCTTAATCCCTTGGACTATTGAAATCAAAATTAGATGTCTCTTTCTAACATATATGAATGAGTTCAACCAGATGTTGGGTTTGATGCAGCTGTGGTGGACGGAGTTCAATGGCCTGTGATATTAGGCAGGTCAAACTAGATTATCAGAATGACTTTAAAACCTAGGCACTTGCTTTCTTTAGTAACATCATGCAATTTTCACTAGGCAAGAGCTTCTGCTGTTAGTAAAAGTCCACAAAGCAGATAAAGCAGAGGAAGCAGAGACACAATCTGTTCACACTGGCCCAGACTCCCACTAGGCCTCAGCTGCAACCTGAAGGAAGAAACTTTTGATCCCTGTCTTCTCTCTGTTGATGCTAGTACTTTACTGGTAATTAGTAACGCTACAACAGTGGGTTTTTGTGATGTGAGCACCTGTTCACTGGAAATTCACTAAGCCCCACCTAATCATTTCACAGACACCAAGCAGGATAATTCTCACCACTGATTTCTGTCCATGCCAGCAATGGCTGCATTTTAACCCAATTGTTTCTCATCCCTTTTCAACTGAACTAGCAAGTCCCTCAAAACTTGTTTACATCACAGCCTCACTTGAATGCAAGAGGTGCCATTATTGCTAATTCCAATTGTAACATATAAGAAAGTACATGCTGCACTTGCCAACATCCACATGTAGCTGTAAAAAGTCACATTTTAATGCTGACTCCAGCAAAAACCATATCCTCTTCTATTGACAGCCTATGGTTTCATCAGAACCACTCTTGGGATCTTCTGAGAGTCTCCTTATAATCATTTAGAAAGAGTACTTCCTCACCTGAGAGATGCTGGCAGATTCTTCTGAGAAATACTAGCCATCAGTCTTTGAAATGCATGGAAAAGTTCCACCTTACAGATCCGCGACCTAACAGAAAAAAAAAAAACCCTAAATTCAAATTAGATGCCGTAGTGGACATAAAACAGCAGTTTTGCTATAGACATCTCTCTCATTAGACCTACAGCCATGATTGATAATTTGTTCCTTCCCTTAATTATATATGCTTTGCCTAAAATAATCTTAAAAATTACTAGTCACTTCTCAGTGATACATTGTCCAAGAGGTAAGCTGTAGAGCTGCCCTGAGCAGGGCTGTCGGACTGCAGAGAGGACGTTCCACGGCCTCCTGTGCTCTTTCCTTGTGCATCTAGAATTGCTCTTGGGGACAGAAGAGGATGCCACAAGAAAGGAACTTTTAAACAAATGCCCTTTTATTTGATTGGAAAACCTAGTTTTGAAGATGTGGTTGATATATTGGAGAAAATGGTTCTATTTCTGTTCCAGTCCTTGTGGAAGTGACAAAAGCTAACGTTACTTTATAACTAACCAAACTTTTTTGCAAACATGATCTACTAATTGCTTTAAGGCATTTTACAAAGTTATTCCCCGGTCAAGCCACAAAATGATGTTAATTTAATAAATATTTAGAGAGAGGCCATAAAGATAAAACACTATTACAATTAATTGTTCTCTAGGATTCTGAGAGAATTGAGTTGGTTTTCTAAGTATAGATTTAAATTTTGAAATAATGGGATTGCTAGAAAAGCGAAAGGAGTGAAATGAGGAGAAAGGAAGGGTCTCGAAAAGCCATAAGGAACTGGGAACAACTGTAGGCCAGTGTATGCTGACAAAGACAGCAGAGGGATAGAAAATGCTGATGCACGTTTCATAAAAGTATCAGAAGCACATTATCATAGCCCAGACAAAGACCCTTTGTTTATTTCCTGAGGGATCCTTAACGATTAACTTCTGCTGCTCCATCCCAGCTCCCCAAACTCCTGTCACTTGAAGTGATAACTTTGATAAAGAGCTACATTGTCCAAGAGGCACACTGTAGAGCTGCCCTAGCCAGGGCTATGTCAGACTGCAGAGAGGATTTTTCACTATCCCCACAGCATCCTGTGCCCCTGCCAGCTCACATACGTCTCAGAGGCCAGAGGCTCAGCAAGCAGGAAAACAATCCACCAGACTGGCAGACCTGCCAACAATTACATTATTGATCATGAATAAAAAACACCAGTAAGACAGATGGAGGCAAAGGAGAAGGGAATAAAAATCTTGCCCTGCCCCACAGCGGTGGCCAGACAGACACACTTGTTACTGGGTGCCAGGCACTTGATGCTATGGTGGTGTGACACTGAAAAGCCCATCAGGAAATAAGGAAAGTGAGTCCCATTTGACAATTAAGATGTATAAGAAAGGCCCAGAAGGTAAAGTGTTTTAAAGAGGTTTTTTTCTTGCCAATTTTTTAGCTTTAGAACAGTGGTTCTCAAACTTTTTGGCCCATGGCCCTCCCAGCTCAATCCAAACTGTTCCATGGGCCACAAGCTGCTAATGGAAACTTGCCATTAATTACATAATTACGCCCGAGCCATTTTGCTAGTGCCGCAGCTAGGGAGAAAGGTTTAATTTCACCAACAAGAAAGGAAATATTAATTGAAATTATTAAACAGGTTAAGCGCTTTAACTTTCTCATGTTAGTTTACCAAACTTAATTTTAAATGAAGTAAAATATTAATTTATGTCCAACGCAAAAGGTTTCAACATTGTCTTCATGGCAGAGGCGGGGAACCTTTTTTAAGTTGGAGGCCACAGAAAACAATCAAGGGAAAGGGTGCAGGATCAAGGCATGAAGGGAGGGCACTTTCTTGCTTTTGCACCCCCCTCCGCTCGCAGGTATGGCCCCCTGCTGCTCCCATTGGCTGGGTTCTGGCCAATGGGAGCCTCAGGGAAAGCCTCCAGGACGTGCATCTGTGTGCAGAGAGGTTTCCCCGCAATCCAGATCAACTAGTCGATTAGTTGATTAAACTAAATTTAACATCCTGATCTAGAAGCAGGGGTTATTATTTAACATGTTTATTACAGCAGTGCCTAAGGGCCCACCCAGAACAGAGCCAGGCACTGCACAAACACAGAGCAGCAGAACTTACAGAATAACTAGACCACACAGAACCAGAGTGAGGGGAGGAGTAGAACACACCAGTGGAGTAAACAACGTGATGAGAGCAAACAATATGCTAGTTCTACTTTTTCAGAGGGGAGGCAGGTAAAGGTGTTTATTACAGCAGTGCCTAAGGGCCCACCCAGAACAGAGCCAGGCACTGCACAAACACAGAGCAGCAGAACTTACAGAATAACTAGACCACACAGAACCAGAGTGAGGGGAGGAGTAGAACACACCAGTGGAGTAAACAACGTGATGAGAGCAAACAATATGCTAGTTCTACTTTTTCAGAGGGGAGGCAGGTAAAGG